AAGGTGCGGTGAAATCATTCGAGGCCTCGAACTTCGAACGAAGCGCGTTCTCAAACGCAGAAACTTCGCTACTACTTCTCCGATCATTTATTCGTTATCGTTTCTCACCGTGTTCGCCATCAGTGACCCATTATATTGTTTCGCGTCATATACAGAGGTATTGTGGTATTTTCCAGCCGCGAACACGACCCAGAGTTTTACGGGGTATTAATTACGCGTCGACGTAATTAAGTTATTGATTAATTTCGCCAGGCGCTCTAATCAACAGAGAGGAGAGGATGGAAATAGAGTTAGGAATAAAAGCACCTTGAGAATTGAGGATTGTAAAGAAATTTTCGGACACGAATGGTTACGAATGAGGGCAATTTTTTTTCCATATTTATTTATATTTTGCCTTAATCGTGGATGCCTATGTGTATTTAAATCTGAAGTATGAACAGAGCTAGGGTGAAATGGTAGAAATAACGTTGAGAGTTTTAAACGTACTAAATATATCGTACGAACAAATTAGCAGACAATTTAACAGTTAATCAACAATGAAAGATGTGGTTTAAACGCGTGTAGTACTTTTGAAAAAAAGGGGTGAAATTAACCGTTCGATAGTCTTCTATTTTTAAAAATGCTTCGACAGATAAATTTTTCTATTTGTTATGGACGTTTAGAAATTATCCTGTTGTTGGGTGGTTTTATTTCCTAATATTTTCTAATTTCTCGGCTTTTAAATTTTTCTGTTAATTTTCTCTGCGAGAATACATGCTTACGAATATATAATTCGAACGTTCGTATGCAAAATATTTGAAAAGCGATATGATAGAAATCGAGAAACGTATATTCAATCACGTTATGTGCAAAGTATATTCAATGTACTATTTAAACAGCCAATTATCCATTATACTAACGAGTCATAATATTCAGTCAAAAATTAATAGACTGTAAATAATGAATTGGAAAAATTTGTGAAATGTAGATAAGAAATTGAAACAACTAGTAGAACATAAATAACAAAATGGTATCTTTAAAACGAAAACATAGAATTCCGCTGTAGTGCTATATTATACTACTCGGTTGAATGAAAATAACATTCCAAAAGATGAAGCAAATTAATCAAATATTAATCAAATTGCCGGTTTAACAAGCAACGACAATCAAGCCACGAAACTTAAATTTCAAAAAATATTTATTTTACTTTCTACCAACTATACCAATGCATACAATCATACACTATATAGATAAGTGTACGTGTTAATGAATTTCAAGTTCGATACGTGTTTCAGCACTATTGTCTCGTTGTCCATTGTCTCCGTTGACCTCCTAGAGTAAACTGTAGAAAAACCGATAATCTCCGATATACGCGAGCAGTGATTGTTCAGAGTGAGGAGATGGTGATATCGTTTGCGACTCCACTTGGCAACTCGATTCTCAATACTCGACGGTGAACACCTGTCATCGACAGTGATTTCTTACGTATATTGCTCTGCTGTTTCCATTTTCCCCTGCAGATACAAATTGCTTTGGAATTCTTATGTTGAAAATGAAACTATTTTCTTTTAGATCTAATTTCTTCCTTTTCGAAAGTTGAAGATACTTTCCTTACTATCTAATAAATTAAAAAGAATATTTTATTGTATTTCTTTCAATCGTAGAAGATTACTATTTTTATTACAATTATATTTATTATAATTATAAGTATATAATTATAATAAATATAAAGTATATATATAATAAATATTATTATAATAAAAATAATATAATTGTAATAAAAATAGTAATCTCCTACGATTGAAAGAAATACAATAAAATATTCTTTTTAATTTATTAATTTATTTAATAAATAAAAGTACAATAAAATAGTATAAATATATAATTACATATAATAATACTTATTTTATTATAATTATATGTATAATAATTTCTTAGTATATAACATCAGAATGTTTGTTGGGAATCGTCGTTGTTCGCAAAAAATCGTTAAAGTCAGTAGACACGTACGCGAAGTCAGTGGATATTAAAATTCTTCTACGCGCATTTACGAGCAACGTTGATAATTGACAAATAGCGTTGAAATTGCTCTATGGTACGGGAGTTATAAAGATTTTATGTCTGTGCCAGCGACGCATTCAATTACGTTTTTAACAGCTGACTCGACACTAATAAAATCTTTCAATGATTCTGATATAGTTACGTATTTAAATTTTTTAATACAGAGGAGAATTAATTTTGTTCCAGTCTCCCTCGCATCGATGTAGTCTAACATACGTTTAATTATTTTAATAAATGGGACAGAATGATGTTTCACACAATCAGAATGAGAAAACGTTCATTATTCAATATGTAGTATATTGGATGTTCCTTTCAGAGACAGTGCCAAATTTTAATCTTATATGATGTAGAATTTCTGTCTGGTCTAGAATTAGACAAATTCAAGTGTACTTGACAAATTTTCAACCTGCATTTTCTTGATAAGGAAAAAATTTTCTTTCCTCTTTATAATCCCTTGCGCTAGCAACTGGTTTGCGGACCATAACGAATGACCGAACCGTATATAATAATTCGTCGCTTTCTTTTTATTCAGTACAATACTCGTCAGTACAATATCACTGGATAGAAATTATTAAGAAATAATAAACTTATCATTTGTTTAGCCTGGGTTACATTTAAATATACTTAAAATTGAGAAAATGTTGCAATTTGAGACAAAAAATTCTCGACGTGCGTGCCACGTTATTTTCAACAGTCAATCAAAAACGTTCTGAATACTCGCATTTCTAAACAAAAAATTTAGTGCAATTCTTCGTCAAGAATTTGTCAACACCGGAATAATTGCGAATATTTGTAATCTTTTAGCCACAAATTATTGATAATTCTACGATCAAAGAGTTAAAATTTTCATTTGACAGTTCTGCAGTCAAAATCACTGTCCCAAATTATCTTACCTCGAAAGGATATGATCGTGGAAACATTTGAAAAATCGAAACGAAGCTTCAAGAAACGAAATAGATCAGATTTAACGGAGGAGCTTCGTCAGTACTTCGGTTGGCCGAATTCCAGCAGTGGTACGGCAACGATCGTAATTCCTTCTGTCGCCTATCCACGTTCGTTCATCGAGCATTCTGTTTGAGCTGGTGTGCGAATCCCGGGGACATAAATTTTCTGCGTGAACCGACCGAGATACAAGGGCGTGGTGACGCAGGGCGTGGACAGATTGCCGTGAAAATCGGATCTGGAGAGGAGACCAGAGCGAGAGATCGATATAACGAATCGGTTTGCCGCGATCCGTTCTTTCTTCTTTTTTTTTTCCTCCCCCGTTAACACCGTGAAACTCGATTTTCTTTCTGATCTTCCTCCTACGGAAACGTTGTAAAATGACACGCAACAGGTGTTTAATAAAGTTACACGGCCACGATATTATGTATTATTCGTGCGCCATCGACGAGGTAACGTGGAGATCGTGCTCGCTGTCGCAAATCCCCGTGTGTTCGAAATCCTATTTCAATGGAGTATTCTTTTGAGGATCAGTGACAGGATAAGTTGAGGAATTGAAATGACAAATGGCAGATTGAAAATGGCGCAATTTTCTTTCTCTTTCTTCAGACATTTTCTGCAGAATGTAGTTGTATAACTGACCTTAACCTGCAAACAATTGAAATGACATTTTGTACAGGTGAGAAGTTAGTTTTCGTAAGGAAAGAAGTTAAAACGACCGAATACTATACAATGGATAAATTTATTAAATTTACTAAATTCACATACATGTACAATGTATAGAATTCGGATATTACAAGTATAAATAATTAAATTACGAATTAAGAATTAAATACAATGAAAACTGACATATAATAATGAGTTAAATTTATAATACGTACATGTAAAAATTCAAACCATTTCGAACATGTTTTTATACCTACTATTGAAAGTCTTGAAAGTCTTAATCGATCTTGAATCTTCTTCGACCTTCGAAATTATCGTTCTCACATTTGTCATCCAGAATCGGTATTTTAGATAAAATATTATATCAATATAGCCATATTTCATATATAGTACCGATAAATATATATATAGAAATATACATAATTTTATAAAATAAAGGAGGACAAATTAAATAAAGTTGTATTTCAGTCAAATGAGAATCGGATGTCTTATATAGCGAGAAGTGCGTAGCATATTAATAAAAGCAGAATGTTGTGAATAGTGAAATTGTAAGGTTATCATGTATGATAATCATATCAATGATTATGTGTATAGATTAATAAACAGTGACAGCCACGTATCCAACAAGTTCTTGTCCAGTTTCTTGCTCTGTGTCCTGGAATGCCTGTTACAAATAAAAATATGGACTGTCGATGGCAAACAATAACTTATCCAACGTGTTATGTAGTTCTTGCACAGTTTCTTCCAGGAAACGCTCTGTGTCGTGCAGCGAATAAAAACTGTGTACAAACTACGAAGTTCATAGTTCATCGTAATACATCGATCTTGTTGGAAAATTCAGTATTCCGCGACGTTCAGTGACGTACAATGCTCTTAGGCAACCAGTTGAATCATAAATTTTGTTCAAGTTATTCTACAAAATTATAAGTTTTTTTTTAAAAGTTTTGTTACAAGTTTAATTACAAGTTTAATTTAAGTTTTGTTCTAGTTACAATTTCGTTCTACATAGTTATATTTTAGGTATGTACAGTATTAATTTCGTTCAAATTACGCACTTCAGAATTTTGCATTACATACATATTTACCACATTGGTTTTATCTAATACTTATTTAATACGTTCTTTCTTGTAATACGAGAATAGAATACCGGTATGAATTTCAGTATTTATAGTCAGGTAGGAAGTATTTAAAAATATCGGTATGCATATAAACGTGTAATAATAGGATTGACCAAAAAAGCATTGTTATGTATGTGACATTATTATTAACTCAAATAGCTACAAAATATCGGAAAATATATCGGTATTCGATCTCTGATTACATCATTCAGAAACAATAATGCGTCGTTGATTACTGTTGTTCAAGTATTTATTTGTATTACGCATGACGTGAGATAAATAACATGTATTGTGTAATAATTTTTACTATAATTGTTACTATCTGAAGTGCACACGCGTATTGCAACAAGTATCACATTTACGTCCGCGTTCTACATATATTTTCACTGACGTACACTAACATCACGAATATGTAGAAAGAAGAACCGAAACAATCAGTTCTTATCATTTTATTTATTTATTTATTTAGTTATTCATTTCTTTTATCCTCAGACGAGAAAAATAAACACTACGAGTAAAAGACTTAGGATCGAGTAGGTTACTGCATTAGCACCGGATGTTTCCTGCACCAAAAGCAGGGAACCATAACTGGGAATGTTGACGTTCGAACTAACGACGGTGCTGAAAAATTAATTATTATCACGTTACTATCGCTGCTGTGGAAACTTGAATTTTTGTAAATGAAAGAAGCTGTTGCAATCAGGTTGCAAGTATTTTAATAAAATTTGAGTCAATCAATTCGTGACTCAAAATATTTCTAACGAGTATGAATCAAGTATATTCACGAAAGAGAAAAATATTTTTAATAAGTAGGAATAAAATATTTCTAATGAATAAAAATAAAAAATGTTCTCCATTCTTCTTCGAAAGTATCTTTTCTCCTCGAGAGTATCATGCTCGTGTAGATTCGAATTGCTTATTTCAACTAATTGATTAACTTAAATTTATTCAGAATGATTCTAATGTTTGATCGAGCAATTTCTTTCGTTTACTCGACGTTGAAAATGATTCTGATTCTTAATTAGAATACAAGAGTCGGATTCGATTTGAGTACTGAATTTTTCATTGAGTATGAATAAAATTCAAGAATATAACGAGTATAATATACGAATAATATATGAATAATTTCTCTCACTTACTTTCTCAATGTGGAGTTCACGTTGGCGAGCAGTACCTTAAATTCTCCCTCGGGCAATAATTTCGTCAGGTCCACTTTAGTTTCGTTCGGAGAGAAGTTGAGCAAAAGTGATATAGTTTCATTGGTTCTTTCGTCTTTTCGCAAGACAAATAACACGTTTTTCGTAGGAGTGTCCAGTTTGAACGTACCCTTGGTTAACACATCTTTTTTTCGCAACTGGATCAAGCTTTTGTAAAGATTGTAGTGAGAATCAGAAATATTTTTCTGCTTTTCTAGATTATTTATTTTATAGTCACTATGAACGGGCAACCATGTTTCAGTAGCATTGCTGAAACCTACAAACAGAATTATCGAGTTTACCATTTGTCGAGGACATGAATTTTACTAATTTCGATTAAAGTATTATATTTTCTGCGCCATAGGTGATATTCTTTTCATTCCATTTTCCATTATATATAGGATTACTTTTCATATTCCATTATATAAGAGTTAACACATTTAAGAGTTAATTAATATTTTCTCGTTCTTGAAACGTAGATTGAAATTTCCGTTCACCTGCATTGATAGTGTTGTCCCACTGGAATGGTGTCCGGCAGCCATCACGAATATCGTACATATAAAGGGTAGAGTTATCCACCATGCCGATTTCTTCTCCGTAGTAGGTGACCGCGATTCCAGGCAGAATCATTTCCAGCATTATCAATTGGTCAGCTCTGCCAGGATAACGCGTGCCAACGCGAACTCGATCGTGGTTCCCCATCTACGATAATATTATTTCCCTTATTATATTAAATTTCAACGATACGTACTGGCGCGTTATTGCCGCGTATTGTAATTAAAGTAAGAAACTAACAAGTGACTTAGTATTTTTCTAATACTAGCTTCTAATGCTAGAAACTCGAAGACCAAATTTTATTTGTTATTTGATTCTCTGACTAGAGGTCGGTGCTACTTCGTAATTTAACCAGTTGCGCTGGCAGCTGATTGCGGACCGTAACGAGTGACCGTATAACCGTATACAATAATTCGTCGCTTTCCTTTTGAACTCGTCGGTACGATATCACTGGATAGAAATTATTGTCAAGTAATTTAACAAATTTATTATCTGTTTTGCCTGGATTATACTTAAAATTGAGAAAATATTGCAGTTTTCGGACAAAAAATTCTCGACGCGAATAAAAACAATTGCGTGGCACGTCATTCCGGCGCTAGAGGTTAAATATACTTGTTTCAGTTCGGTGACTTAGAAACGTTTGGGTTAGGTTTGGGTTAGGAATGAAGTTCGAGGATTCACTTTTCGTATCCGTTTTACAATGATGAAAGTGAGAGCAATACATTCATTTTCATGCCAGAGACACACGTCGCTCTATGAGTCTAACTTCGTTTAGACAGCGTGAATGAATTGCTTCGGAACGATTGTCACACGCGAATTTTATTTAATTTTCGCGAATGTAGCGCGAAATTTTAACAAAGATTCTTAAACGCGAGCTAATTAGAAACTTACCACCCAGTTTGGGGTACCATCATCCGGCATATATTTCAACCATGTGTTGGCAATGTTGGCAAACTCAGTTGTGTTGGATTTCGCGTTGACGTCTGTGATAAATTTGAAATTGAATGGAACGTGTGAACCGTAGTCGTAATACTTGATCATGTTGTTCAAAGAAGCGTATGCCTCCGTCAATATCACCTGTAACATGAAATCATTTCGTCATAACGTTGACAAATTGCGAATCTTGGGGAGGTAATTTGATGATAGCTATCGTAGATTGAAGTTTTTTGTAGGACCCAAGACAGAATTGCTTGTTTCATTTATTACACAGATACTGTCCTGTATTTTGAATGTTTTACACAACTTTGTTTATATAATATCCAAGCTTCGAGCTTTGAACCTGTCGTAAATGTACTTATTAATCAAGTTTCAAGGTTGAAATTTTCTATAAATGTTTTTCTATAGAAATGCGCGAAGAACTCGGTTCGGCTTAGAAATATTCTCTAAATCCTTTTGTCGAAGGTAAATTACGTCCAGAGGGATAGAAGACTCGACAGTTTGCTTGATAAATTTGTGTCAATTTGTGAAAATCTCGTAAAAATAGAAATTGTCGTCGAAACAAGCGGGGAATTATTTCGAAACTACGTGCGTGATTTCACTTACTATTTCGTCGCGATTATTTTTATTCGCGTAGTGGTCCACGTATTCCCGCCACGATTGTACCATATCGTAGGTCTCGGGCTGGTCCTTTATATATATGTGATCATAATACGCAAAGTGACTTTCGTTGAGACTGCTGTCAGTGTTTGGAAGCTTCGGCTCGTTGAGCGTTATATTCGCCGACTCGAACAAAAATGGTATTGCGTCTATGCGGAATCCGTCGATTCCTTTGTCCAACCAAAATTTTATTATCTCCTGCAAGACCGTGCGTGTGTTATAAGCAATTAATCATAAAGCAGGTTAAAATAACAAGTCGACTGTAATGAAAGGAATACATGTTTTAAATAATTAACTTCGTCGTTTCTTTATATTTCGAACAAGCGTGGAAATTCTCAATTGTAGATACTGTTGAACGCAAAAATTCACTAAGATGAATGCTACGTTGAGAGTTAAAAATTGCAACGTTTCACTCGCAATTTTTCTTTCATTAATTTGTATCGTCAAATTCTATCTTTTAATTCAAAGTATAAAGGGGAATTGCAAGTATTCGCTTAATACTTGTCTCATTACTATGCCTTCTCACATTGTCTCGGAAGGAATTCAAGTATTTGCAAGTTCCGATCAATTGCTACTTGATATAATATAATAATACAATATTTAGTATAATGTAAATCGCTAATGAATAATATAGAGTAATGTTAAAGAGCTATATTATTTTCCTTACGTCATTATTTTATATCATAAGAGCCCATGATTCAAATTTGTTTCATTTGTTAATATATATTATATAAATTCAATTGCGTTAATAAAACTATAGACAAGAAATTTTAATATTACAGATAACTTTGAAGTAATTGCATTACATGTAATTACATAATGTTTAGTATTAGAACTAATCAATTGGTAATTTTTAATCATATAAGAATTTTAAGATAATTCTTTATCATTATTATAAACTTTTCCTCTTCCCTGCACCTTCGTTATGCAAGTTTCATATTTTAGTCATCGGTATTTCTCGCGTGAAATAGTTTTTATTTCTCGAAACTGCGTTCATCGATGTGGTCCTTGTTGCATTCAACGATGCAAGTGAAAATGTATGTAGTTCTCGTATCGGTTATAATTATATCGATCAAACAATACCTTCATCTCTTCTTGTACCGATGGATTTCTATAGTTCAAGTCTGGCTGTTCTGGATAGAATTGATGGAAATAGTATTGTTTTCTTTCCTTGTGATACGTCCATGCTGAATTATTGAACACGCTGACCCAATTGTTTGGTATTACATCTTTCCATATATAATAATCTGCATATTTTGACGTGTTGCTTGCGGCGCTTCCTTTGAACCACAAATGCTCGTTAGAAGTGTGGTTAGGGACGAGATCTAAGATAATCTGGAAAATAAAACGAAAGCTGTCCGTACCATTCGCGATTACTCCCGATTCTGTGAGTCTGCGGCATTATCAAATCCCAAAATGAAGTCAATAATCTGAGAACGTCGGAGTAATTAAAACAGCGCGTTAATCTATCATTTCTAAAATTAATCTTGAACACGAATCAATTAGAAGGATTGAAAATTTTAATGTATTGTAGTGACATGATAAGTTTTGTTGGAGAATTTTTTAAAAAATGAAGAGATCGACAGTAAAAGTTCGTTTATCGTCATTAGTCTGCTTTACCTTTATTCCGAGTTTGTGAGCTTCAGACAAAAGATCTTCGAGATCATTTAGGCTGCCGAATATTGGATCGACATCTCTGAAGTCCGATATATCATATCCGAAATCTTTCATAGGGCTTTTATTGATCGGTGACAGCCAGATCGCTGTGATTCCAGTATCTTTGAGATACTCAAGCTTGCTCTCAATACCTGTCAGAAAAATAAGAATAATTTAACTGTACGATACGATATACGTGATATAGAATAAATATTTTTAATTTTTATTCGATTAATAATTTAATATATAATATTTTTAATTTTAATAATAATATTTTTAATTTTAATAATAATATTTTTAATTTTAATAATAATATTTTTAATTTTTATTTGATTAATAATTTAATATATAACATTCCAGATTTAATATTAAATTTGAACTAAAATAAAGGATTTTTGTGTCTCTTTATATATTTAAAGGATTTTATGCATTTGTAGACAATTTTAAAAAGTATGGAAAATGTGTACATATAATGCATATCATACGAGCATATATATAAAACATTTATTACTAACTCAAAAATATTTTCTTAATTTTGTATAATTGCTAGAAGAATGATGTAAAAAATCTTTGAATGAAATCTAGCTCTGCACCATACTGAATAATAATTTTAAAAAAACAATTGTATCTTTGTCTGATTTATGTATGTCTAATAGTAGATAGCATATTTAATTATATTAGCTACGATAAAAGAATAATAATAATAATGATAATAATATATAGAAATATATTATGTCCACATACTACATATAATTAAATTATATAATTAAATGCAAGCAACATAATGGAAATGATATTGTAAATTCCATTATTCGATAAGTTTCAATATTAAGTAAGTTTCAATATTACGAAATCTTCTACTTTTTTGCAATTGTAACCTAATCTAATCTAATTTAATCTTAATTGAATTTTTGGAATTGTATCTAATCATAAAATACAGCTTAAAAGATAATCTGATATCAGTTATTGTTATCGGATCAGTTATTGTTGTGAATCAGTCATTGTTGTGTATATACAGTTCTCCAAAAAAATACCATTGTATATACAGTTCTCCAAAAAATACCATTATATCTAGATATATAAAGCTAAATAGATAATCATATATATTTTTTTATATATTTATAACTAAGTTTATATATAAAACTAAATAGATAATATACACTTACATAATAATAACAAACTTTTACGTATAATATCACCCCATATCTATATAAAACTGTCTACTGTCTAGTAAATAATATCCGATATATATTATGAAATATCTTTGTGTATGATTTTGAAATTAAGCATTGATAACAATTAACCTTGGAGATATTTTAAATTTAAACTTGTTGATTTAGAATAATTTACTTCATTATTTATTATTCATTTGTATCTGTATGTACATGTTTAATAATTTACATGATAATAATACGTGTAATAAAACTGAATTAATATCTGTTGAATTAATATTTTAAGTTCTGATTATATTGATTCAACTTATTAATGTCGTTCTAATGTGTATCTAATATTTATAAGCGTAAATTTACTAATGCTTTAATTGTTTCTGTTACAGGTAAGTAATGAATATCAATAATCGCGTCAACATCCTTCAGTGTGAGTAATAATTTAATTTGTTGAATTAGATTCTGAATTCTATCAATTTCGAGAATCATCTGTTGTATTTTGGAAATTGAAATTTGCATAATAAAATTCTACTGCTTGCCACATTGCTATATATCTAAACAATTCTAACAATGAAATTTCTGGCTACGCTTCAATTCACATTAGTTCATTGGTATAATTCAGAATTATAACACCTCGTACAGTCGTGTGAGTCTTCGGAAATTTCGAATCTAAATGTTAGTACTGAATATTTAATTATTGGAAGGACTATAACGATATTAATAGTGGATATTGAATATTTCGTAGAAAGATAAAAACATGAGAAATAGCAACTGTCAACATGCAACATGAAATACGAGTACTCAAATTAAAAGCCAATTTTTTAATAAATAATCGTCGACTTTGCGCTGCCAGCCCATTAATCTGCCAGTTCTAGGTGACTTTCCGTAGAATTCAACGCATTCTTCTAATTACTATTGAGCATTCGAAGACCGCGCATTACATCACGTACGTCGAATGAGAGGAAGTGTGATGCTAGAAGAGTGCAATTAAATATTGCCGACTATTTTTATTTCCTGTTATCGTAGGTCGTGTTATTCTCACGAATCGCGTACAGAATAAAAGAATTAAGAACGAAAGATGTTATTTCGAAAAATACCTAACAATTTTTCTGCACGGTGCTCTTACATATAACCAATAAGGAAAAATCGTTCCACGTAAAAACCTTCCCGATTATTTGGTTTTTTAGTTTATTACAATTTTCTTTAGTATGGCAAATTTACTTTTTACCGTTTACTAGTAACATCCACTGATATTTTTGCTCAAGTGTTTCGCGCATTTCTTAAAATATCGTTGATCGTCAATAATATTGTCGTTGGATACTATGGTTAATTTTTATACTAATTGCACATGTAGTTACCGGTTTATTTGTTCGTTAATTGAGCTGAATTACTGCGAATCCATCAACAAACTCGTCATCGTTATTTATATTGAGAATTCATAATATAGATTTATACAATCTTTTAATTTGTCTTTCTTTTTTTTTTCTCTTTAAGGAACATGATTTACATTTGTCAGCTTGAAACACTGTAGTTAGAATTATCTCATCCTTAATTATCGCATTAATTGTTCCATCGTTACGCTTTGTTAAATTGTAGTCATGTCGCGTTACGAAACAAGTTTCATTGTAATTTTCCTATTTCTCAATAATTAATTGACTTTTTAAGTAGTTATTTACTGCTAAAAAAAATACTGCTTATTATTATGATAAAATTCGTGAGCGTCTCTCAGTTGTTATTTCCTGCAGGTGTTGTGCAACTGTGATACGAATATTATTAAAAGATATATCTAGAAATCAATGCTTTAATTTATCAAGAAATTAAATAAGATAGAAAAAAGAAACCGGGCAAAGTGATCAGTATTTAGATTAATACGAAAATTAATGAAATTAATGAAATCGTACAAAAATTTAAGAATATTTTAAATACTGTAGAACTTTCAGTCAGCAGTCACTAGAATTTATTAACTAGAGTTTAGAGTTAAATCACGACCGTAACGATTGTTTTAATATCTATAATTATTTAACATTACAATTATTGTATTATAATTGTGTACGTCATATAAATCACACTTGAACGAATTTCGATAACTAAATCGGCGATAGACGAAAAACGTGTAATATTTTTAAGTGTGGCGATCGAAAGAAAGTTTAAAATAGAAATGCACGGCGATCAGTAATTTTTATTTTAGATATTCTTTTCACAATTAGCCACAGTCGCTTATTCTGGGATCTGTGCGACATCTATTTATTACTCGTATTAAATATACGTGGTTCCATTTTATAAAATTACCTTCGTATTTGCCATTCAATTTGCCTTTGAAATTTCCTTTCGTCCACTACCGTACAAAAGACGCATCTTCAGATGATCCGCGCACGCAGCGTGTCGATTATACGTGTTCGAATTTTCTCATTGAAAAAAGAAACTATAATAGTTTCCTTAGTGTTTACCTCACGATACGATCTCTTCGACGCCACAAAGATAAAGTGTAATAATAATAATTAAAAAAAAAAAAAAAAAAACACCAGAGAAAGAAGGTAGAAAATAAAGTTCGATCAATAGAAAGAAAACTCACTTAAAGGGAGAAGGACGATCCAACGTACGTACATGTGTACGCGTTCGCGTGGCACGAAACGTTTTACCGGGAGGTTTCTAGCGTTTCCTACCTTTCAGGTCGCCAACGCCATTGCCATCCGAATCCATGAAACTCCGCGGATACACTTGATAGAAGACCGCGTTCTTCCACCAACCTTTGTTCATGATCCTGGCGGTGGCCAGGCTGATCGCGAGCACCAGCACGACCGCGACAAGATTTACGCCCATCATGATTTTAAATGATGCGGCGCGCGGTCATCCGGCCTTTTTATATGTCAGCTTCGACGGTAAAAAAGAGCAGCGGATCGCGCCAGCGTTATCAGCGGAGTATAGGAAACTCGTACTTATAGATAATGTCGCGCCGTCTCGTAGGAAAATTGCACGCGGCGATCGAACGACTCGAGGGATCTTGCGCAACTTAAATGACGCGCCCCGTCCTTCGCCCTACCTTTCTCATTAACGCTGTCACGCGACGGTGTTTATGGGAAATCGAGGCGTTTTCCCGCCTGTTTTTGATCGTTGAATTTGGTATCGATCGATAGTTTCTGACGAGACATTCAGATATTTCATAGCGAGGACTGTTGGAAAAGTGAAGTGTCTTGTTTGCAATTGAATTTGGTACTAAATAGCGAGACATCGATCGCGATATGAGGCATTTTTTCGACAAAATGTGGGACCATTTTTTTAGTTACTCGTTGTTGGAGCTAAATTTGGTACCGAATGATAGCTTACGATCATCAATCGGAGAAAAAAAGGTATTGCATTTTGGCTGTGAAACGAAATATTTCATTTTGCATGACAATTTTATTTTGTTTTTAGAAGAAACAAATTTTTTTTTTATCGGTATCATTTAACGACTTTTATCGATCATATCCACGCTTTCGTCATTCTAAAATATTTATAAGAATAGAACCGATCAACGATGACCATGTGTTGATAACATTAATTTTTTTACGAAATATTTTCCTATTCTTTCAAAGCTTACTTCGAATATGTGATTTTATTTTTTTCTTAATTCGTTGCTCAAAGTAAGAGACTTACTGTAGAGGATCATGAAATTATGAAACGTTTCTTACTTTCTGTCAGGCGACTTTGGGGAATTAGACACTTGATGACGAAAAGAAAAAAAGGAGAGAGGTTCTTTGCCAATTGCAAAATTAAATATGTACTCCGTACAATTTCGAGAATCTTGTTGCTTCGTCTTGCGTTAAAATTTCGCAACGCAGGTTCGCAACAGAAAGTTCGAAGCGAGATTCCGCGAAATCCACAAGAAAAATTGCGTCGCGCGGAAATTTGATAAAAGTTGCTGACCTTATTGGCTATAGTGCTGAGAAATTTATTGCCGCGGATGGGGAGGAACGAGAAAGCGAGTTGCCATCGTTCTTTGCGTCGCGGATAATTCAAAGTTTTATCAAAGTTTCCGCGTTCTTCAACGAAAGAGACGATGTTTTCTGTTGCATTCGACGAACTTCGCATCGCGAATTGAAGAAAATGTTTGAAATTCTTAAATTTCACGTGCAGCAACAGATTGCAAGCAATTATGCGGTAGGGAAGACTTGTCGTGCAAATTTTCCAACGAAATGCTACTTTATTCTAATTTTTGTTACTTGTACAATCGAAAAATTGGAATCTCGTGAAAATATTCGACCATTTATAATTTGAAATGAATTATATTGTTTGTGCTATATGGAACATTTCGAAATTTCATTAATAGTTTCGTGAATCATGGTATAACATACAGAGATATAAAATACACAAAAATAATGTGATTGCCACAATATTTAGGCACTGAGTAACACAAGTTTTCATTTAGATTTATGTTGAATGATGTTACTCGAATATAACGTGAAATAATATACACGTATGAAATATGCAAATATATATTCCAATTTCTTTATTCCATTATGTGAATTCCTGTTTCGTTTCATTTAGTTATGTTCATAAAATCTAGATATTCATAATCTAATGATAAGAATGACATTAATATGTTTTTACACACTATCTGAAAATTTCATGTCAAAAAAAGAAGAAAGACAAAAATTTAAAGAAAAGACAAGAATTCATTTCATCATCTTGACTCTTATTCTTCGTAATATATATATATATAATATATAAATTTTCAAAGGAAAGCTGTAATGACTGTCGTTTGTGAAGAAATTCCGATATGATATTTGTAACAATAGTGTTTGTACGATATTGTGAGTTTACCAATGATTAGATATTTAAAAAGATTCTTACCATAAGCTATATATTTCGAAGCTATTAGTGTTCCAGTTTTTATAAAATAGCTGCTACCGTTTCACATTTTATATTATAGATTTTAAACAGGCCAAAAATTGGATTGCTATTTTTTTTAATGAATAGAATCTTTAGAACAGTTTTTCCAAATTGCGACTGAAGTATATTTTATTAGAACAAGTCAAGTTAGAATAAGTTTGATTTTATTGTTTGCCTTAACTATTAAAAAAATAATAAAATAAAACTAAATTAAAAGGAACAAAACAAATTTCTTTGTTGTAACGTTATTCGCGAACAGATGAAATAATTTGCATAAAATAAACAGATTTAGTAGTTTCAATGAATCGAGTGGTTGTGACGAAAAGTTATAAGAACATCATACCCACTCATGATATTTATCAATGGTAATATAAAATGATATTCGTGTATAAACAAGATACAAATCATCTAGAATGTTATCGTTTCTTTTATGGTAATCTTAAACATTATTTGGTAGTATCTTGCAAATTATCAGAAACAGATTTTGTAGGAAATATACATTACAAATATTACTCTTACAAAAGCATGAAAAAATATTTTCCAATATTTTTTAAATTGAATGACTATAAAAATTAATTGTTAAAACATAAAGTATATGATTTATTCAGTGTTAGAACGATCGAACTCTATGTATTCCTGTAAATTTATGGACATTTTGTAAACCGTCAATTATTCATGACAAATAATTTTATATTTCAGTTATATTCTTCGTGAATTTTTATTTTTAGTAAATTTTATTATTGCAAATGAAATTACCAAATTCTTAATACAACTCAAGGTTTATAACTTTGTTGAAAATAATATTAATCAAAATTCGACTTGTTAGATTAGATATATATTGTAAGACAATATTTTAATTATTACAATTACAGTTTTATTATCTTAATCTTACATTTTAAAGTAAATCGTCAAAATTAAAATCGTTCATTGCCGATAATTTTTGCTCGCATGAATGTCAGGTTGTTTCTTCTCTTAATATAATTACTCAAACACGTGTATTAATCTAACGAGCAAACTTTTACTTCTTTTTTTTCTCCTTTTAGCATGACGTTCGTAATTAATCTATTTTTATTTTCATCTACTTTTTAATAATAATGAAATAATTGATAAAACACATTTTGAGTTACAAGTTTTTAATTAACAAGTTTTTGATCTAATGAATCTTTAATAACTAAATCAATTGTTTTATTGCAATAATCCGGGTCAAATGTTATTAATATATATATATATTATTAAATATTAAGAGGATTAAATAATTAAAACAAAATATTAATTACATAATTATTAAGTAGTTTAAAATCTCTGTATTCATATTCATATTTATAGTATGAAGATTTTAGATTATTTACAGTCTCTGTATTTATGACAATAAATACCGAGTGCTTAAGTATTTGTAGCATAACATTTATACAATATATCCGTACACAAATCTTTGTGATTTTTAAACATAAAGTTACGACATAATATAAAGTAATTTACCTTATCGTATCTTTCGTTTAAAATTCAGTGAAATGATGAAGTAGAAATTAAAAATCAATTGTCGTTGAAAAGCATTGAAAAATATTATTTGTCGGCTGGTGAATATATTGACGAACGCGTTTTTATTATTCGTAAAACTTGCTGTGAGAAAGCGAAAATTTTAACGCCAGATTACACCCTATAGAAATCGTTCGTAGCGTAACGGAGATATTTTTTTACGATTTTGCTGGAAAGCAGAGGAATAACTGGTGATCTTATTACACGAAATCAAATCTAAGCCAAAATATTAGAGCATCGCGCATGATTTTATCTCTGGAAAGCGAATTTTAGTCTCTGAATAGGGAAACTCTCGTAAAAATAAACGTATGCTGGTGAAAGAAGCGAGCATTTATTTCACTACGAACAATTTACTCCACTAATAATAAATTGAGCGTAAATTTCTGGAAAAATATTTATTATAAAGAAGAATACATGCAATAAAGTAAAAGCAATTATTTAGACTCAACTCTTCGATTTTTGTTAAAAAATGTGAGTTTATACATAGTATAAATCTGCATCCTTCAATTGTGACAATTTATATGCCGATTGTATAGAAATTAACTTCAAATGTTAAACAAAAATGAAAATTGAACAAAAATTAATGTACAGAAATGAAAAAGAAAGTAATATGAATGTAGAAGTTCACGTAAAGATTAAACATTATAATCTTCTTTGAAACCTACGTAACTTTAAATAAATCAATTATCGTCTATCATCGAAATCTTTTTCCTCGAATACTTCAAATTTATCAGAGTACGTAGGTTTTTCGCGACTCACTCGAGCATAAAAATGCCGATTGGTTGGAACAATTTCGTTCGAACGTGCCCACTTTGAAGTAACTCTCCGCGACTCTTTCGACTCTCACGTGCACCTTCGAGTATCCAATTTCGTCGCTTGTCACCCGGTCTGCATCTGGAATGAAGCTCTGAAACGAAACGAGCTGAAGAAAATGTGCGCAGCCGGCTTTCGAGCGCCCGAGGAATTCACTGCGAAAGTTGACGAGTGAAATTCTTCAACACCGGCCGAAATCCCGCGATGGATATCGAAGCAACCGATTATAATTGGTACGGTGATTGACGTGGCCACGATCGATGCGACGACCGACATGCTTCCGTTCACGCTCCTTCGCCAGTTTTACCTTCGCTTAAAAAAAAGTGAAAGGCGCCGGTTAATCGAATCTGCTCCTCGAATCGTATCGCGAGTTTCGGCCGTTTTGACCCGCTGGCAGTCGCCACGACCATCGTTTCGAAGTGAACGTCGAGGTTTCCTTTCGAGGCGCTCGATTTTTGATTTAAAAGAATTTGGTTGATAGACATTACAGAAAGGAAAGAAACTGAGGAAAGGATTTTAGTGCCAGATGCTATTTAAAAAAACTCCTATTGGATAATGTCACGCGGCACGATATTCCTTTCTTGTAAGATGTATTTGCGAAAAATGTCAAGATATGTAACGAAAATAGATAAAGTAAAAGTTGCCTATTTGTGCTAGTGATTGAAGGTTTAATTAAAAAGAAAGTAACCAGGAGAGGAAGCTTCAATATGGCGACAAAATCCTGTCGAATTACACGACACGAAATATCAACAGGGCAATCGTGCTGCACAGCACTATGAAATAGTTTAGTTAAAGCTAAATGTGCGAATATTTTCCTCTCTCATTGTGATACTGTGATTATTATTGTATCGAAGCGTTCGTATTAAGAGGGTTAGAGTTCAATTTCAAACACAATGATTACTAACGAAGTAACTTTAATGAGAAATCAGGTTATATATAATTAAAGATTAGAAATATTAAATGTTTAAGGGAGAATAGATAAGTACTGCATTGTGGGATTAGCCAGTTACAAAATTCGCATTTGGAGTGGTGAGGATGACCACTGATGCGGCGGGTATGGTCACGTGTTGAACCTGGACAACATTTTCCCTGTATTTACAACAAACAAATAAACAGGCGTGAATTAGTAACAAAGTGAAAGCTAGGAAACGATGCATAGATTTATCGCGATGATGCAAGTTAGGTAAATAAAATAAAATAAAACGTGAAAAAATGATCGCACTCACCAAGAAAGTATGCCGGAGATAGCACTGGCGTAATAAACGTCCAATTTACTCGGTATGTTATCAAATACTGATAAGTCCACCGTTGAGTCCTCGTCTCCGAAGTTTGTTATGGCATAAACGCTTCCGTGCTTCTCGGTTTCTCTGAAGAAATTACGACATTCCATTGAGAAAACGAAGATGTCACCATCGTTTTTAATGCAAATTTCGTTTCGATTTACACAGGGAATTATCCTTACCTGGCAAAGGCGAAAACATATTCATCCAATACTTCTGTCACTAAATTGGCCTGCTTGAAGTGCGGCGATTTCTTCAGCTTCGAGAGTTTCTCATAAAGAGTGTAGTACGAGTTCTTGTCTTTCTTCTCGTCAGCTAGATTCAAGGTCTTGTAATTAGGGTTGACTGGAAGCCAGGTATGGGAATTCGAGGAAAATCCTGCGAATCGATACTCTTGGTTATTAAGATCGTTGTTGCTTTGAATTGAGGATTTAATAAACATATTCTCAATAAAGGGATGATGTCACGTTGAAAGAACATACGTAACATCGAAAAATTGTCGTGATAGCAACGATATCACGCGTGTCTACTAATTTTCTTTTAGAGAATATCTTATCGTTACTTTCCTTCACAGACGAAAACACGATTAGCTGAACATTTAGTTTGGTTTATAATAATCGTCAATTGAATTTTAACTAACTAACATATTATTAACTATGTTTGTTCTAGTGCAATATATAGGATATATATAATATATATCAATATATAAGTTGCAATATAACATATAATTGAATTAATCAAGTGATTTAATCAATTATATTACGACCTTAATTGCAAATTAAATTAATTGCTACTTGTAGTGGCAAAAATAAAATGATCGATGAATCCGTATCAGAGAAGTCTAATATCATCAATCATTTATAACTTCTCGAGTCACAGTTTGTATTAATAATAGTTCATTGTGACAAAATATCAGAGCATGGATATTAATATATATTAATAAATACAAAATTACTCTTTGCGAATTCGTACAACAGTAATTTGCAGTTTAGCAAATCATTTATAGTTTTCTTCTATTCAAATATTTAGGTAATATTTTAATATTATAAAAGGTACCAATAAACATAAAATTATTATTACAGGTTAATATAGTTCATCAAGTCGTTCGTAATTCGTAAAGTTCAAATATTCTCAGTCAATACCAAATGCCTAAATATTAATGCTATAGTATTCTGAACTTCACTTGTTTTTTCCGCTAACAGGAAGTTGCTTTTCTCCGAAAATTTGTTCTTCTGAAAGTGTTCTGAAATTCCCTTAAAAATCTAAAAAGTGTTCTTAAAATTCGCGTTATTGATCCAAAAATGATTTCTTCCTTATGAAGGTTGTACCTTGTCAGGAACTTACCGGCGGCAACGGTGTCATTCCATTGGAACGGTGTTCTCTCGGGATCTCTAGTGATATTTTGATAATTTGCTTTACCAGCTCGACAGCCTTCCGGATCCACTGTATCTTCCCACGAAATATAAGCGTCTGTCATGCCAATTTCTTCGCCATAATAAGTCACGCTTACGCCCGGTAATAGGAGCAGAGACATGGTGACGGCACGAGCTCGTGGTTCTCCCAGTCTCGCTATTAATCTAGAATGGTCATGGTTTCCGGCCTGTGCACAAAATTTTCAAGTACTCAGAAATTTGAAATAGAAATCATTCTCTTTTAAGAATTGCTCTTGATCGCGTTAACTCGGTACAGATTTCTAACCTGTATCACTTGAAAGAGAAACGACGAGGTGTCCAATCAAAGATTTATTATAGGCAATTTTAGATGTTATTCCAATGAATTAATTTTATTAATACATCGATTCAGCTATTCACATTAATATCTTCATTTTAATTATTAATTTTAATAGCACTTCAAGTTTGTAGATTAATCATTAATTATTTGGATGTCAATGATTATTAATTTAAATTTGAATGTTGAGTTGAAATTTGTTTTTTCGCAAATATGATTTTAATATTATTGATATAAATACATCGTTTCATAATTAATTTATTGTTATTCAAAGAATTGCAAAATAAGCCAATCTAAAATGACGAAAGAACGATATTACTCTGCGAAATATCGCAAGAGAATTTTTCTACGTTTGTAATTTTCTACGTTGTACATTTTTAAAATATTCTAAATATGGGAATATTTGCATAAAAAGCCGGAAACTAATGATAAATTATTTAATTTACTGTAATAGTTAGTAATTTCATTATCAGAATTCCGCGAACTGAGAATTGTCGGTTTTCCTTCCACATCTTGCGCTTTCTTTTTTTTCAACAAACATTTCTTCTAGCATTGTTTATTTTCTTCAACGCGGAAATATCGGTCTCCCGGCTTGAAATTTCACAATCGATCGCCTCGGTACACGCACGGGTCCGATGAATCTCGATGCGCCCGTGAAATTCGAAGAACACGAGCGTAAAGAGATGCGTTTTGTTCCCTCCCGCGAATTTCCTGGTCATTTTTCAAGCTCGTTCGCGCGTAACTCTCGCTGTTCAACGACAGAGCAACGAATTCGAACCTCGAACGAGAACTATCAATTCATTTTTCCAATCGAACGACCAATTGACGACGAAAATGACGTTCAATTAGTTTCGCGTCGAACGTTCTGCTTCTCGAATAATTTGTTTCCCCTTTCAACTTTATCACCGAGATAATTATAATTTCTGCTCTGTTTGTAATTCTTTGTGACACTGAAATGATTAGACTGGATGATTAATTGATAGACTGCGTCGAATTACGCAGGTGCTACATCAACTTATATCTAAATATTTATGTAAAAAAGAAAGTGAGGTTCGTACGTATCGAAAATAATGCCGATCAAGACATTAGCAATATATAAATTCGATCGAACAATCTTCATATAGTGTGTTAGTTTTTAACTTACCACCCAGTTAGGAGTGCTACCTTCCGGCATGTTATTGTACCACGAATCTACTATATGCTTGATATCTGCTGCAGACGAACTGCTAGTAAGATTTGTAATCGTATAGAAGTTGAAAGGGAAATCTGCTCCATAGTGATAATATTTCATCGTGTCCGACATATTGCTATATGCTTCGATCATTATATATTTTGGCTGTTCGTATTCGTCCAGGACCTTTCTCCACGTAGGAAGGATGTCGTAATCTGGTTGTTGATTAGTAGTGTATATCTTCTCAGTATAATCGTAGACGTCAGGATCGTCAGTTAGACCTGATAGAGGTTCGTCCAAAAATCGTTGATCTTCATAAAGGAATATCATGGCATCTATTCTGAAGCCATCAACGCCTTTGTCTAACCAAAATCTCAGAACATCCTGTAATGTATTAATAAGCACAGACTTAGTATACACGTCACTTGAGAAATATTTATATATATATATATATATATATATATATATATATATATATATATATCTCTAGTAACAGTTAGAGTCTGTTAGCTAGAGCAAGATGCTGAAATTTTGAAAAATATAACAAATATTGGTTGGATGAGGGGGTAAGAAAATGTGAGTTACGCATTGGCGCCAGAGTAATGCTAAAGCACTGCTATAATATGGAGAGAAGTTATTGGTCCTTTGGAAGATCTAACAAGTAGTAGATAATGTAGAGAAAATAGTTAGTTGCTTAAGAAAGATAGATAATTTGTTGTTTTCTTAACTTATTGTAAGTTATAACTTATTATAAGTTAAGGGAAGTAAGGAAAGTATTGTCACTTTTGACAAGTGTTGTTAGAAACGACTTACTCTTTCATCGAAACTGTGGGCAAATTAGATAGGAAACGAGAGTCTCCTGATGCAAAGAATTCAAGTTTCATTTCAAACAATCCGAAACTACAAATGAACGACGGTTTATGTAAATCTGTATCGTCATTTCTAAAGATTAAGTTTATACGAACAAGTATCGATAAGATAGATTTAAAATACCATTATCGGGTTGACCTTCTGTCGCAATGAAATCTGCTGAGAATTCTCGATGCGTCATAATGATATCATAATGATAACACTTGGAATTTATTGAGATTTAAACATAACTCCAAATGATGTTTTCCGAAGAGATTTTTGAAGAAGCATTCAAATGAAATTAGAATTCTATTTCACTATAAATTAGATATAATTTAAATAATTTAATTAGACAGATAAAATATTCTTCTAATAAAATATTCTATTAATATCTCACTTTTTTAATGGGAGTATTGGATAAATTTTTGTTATATTTGTATTGAAATTTTTCATATAATTTGTTTCTTGTATAAAAAATACTATATATATTATATAGTTATTTTTATATAATTGACAATGTTTTAGTATCTTTACAGATATACATATATATTTTAATTTAAGTAGTAAAATATATACAAAATATGACAGAACCAAATATGCAATATTATTTCATAGACTTATCAATGTATCGATAAGTGGTATTACAAAACATAGTTATGTTGATAAATTTTTATATAAAAATACCAATCGTTAATCTTTTCGAAGTCAATGAAAGTTGTAAACATGCAGTTATAAAATGTATTGAAAAAAATTTTATGACATTGATAACTCGAGTTCTATTGACAAATCAAGATAGCTGATAATGTTTCGGCGAAAATATAATGAAATACAGCCATTTCATATGCACTTTCAAATGAATTAAAAAAGAAAAAAAAATTTAGATATTTTATGAGTAATGCATATTTTTGTAACTTTGAATTCATCACAATTGTCGAAAAATCCGAAATTCACATGTCAGTATTGTGGTCAATTCTAAGTCTTGTTGAAACGATTTCTTGATCTCTTCTATTTGTTTCTATGTACTTCAATTAAAAAATTTTAAGGAATAAACAAAACGATAAAATTAAAATGAATATTATTATTATTAATTATTATAGAATATTAAATTAAAGATATATCCAATGAAGTAGACATATTATTGAGAAACAATATTTTGCAGAATATTTTAACAATAGCTAATTAATAATTAGTACAATATATATAATTGTGAGTACACTGTGCTAAATAGAACTACGTATTTTTCATATGATACTCACTTCAATCTCGCGTCTCACGTCCGGACTATTGTAGTTCAGATCAGGTTGTTGTATGGCGAATTGATGCAGATAATACGCTTGGCGTTCATCTTTCCACTCCCAAGCCGATCCATGCATTTCACTCACCTGTACATAAATATGCGTTTGCAAATTTACCAAATGCATAATAAACAAAGTTGCTCAAGCAAAGCCTTAAAAAATTGTTCAATTAGATAAAATTAAGGCATCAAGACGATATTCGAATTTAAAAGTTTTTACAACTCAATGCATTATCGCAAAAGCTGGAAATTTTTCAGTTTTGCAGATTCAGAGTTTATTCTAATAATACTTGAGATTGTTAATGATAGATGACAACTGAATGGCAATGTGCGTGGTTGTTTAATTCGTTTTTGCCTGTTCGTTTGCAAACGAAAGAGAAATGCAAATATCGAAAGTAAAAGCATTGTCTGTGTGGTGAACGTTTTCTACAGAATGTGCATCCAGAAGAGATGAAATAAACGCGAGCAGTGTAAACTGACCTTTTTGAAAAGAAACAATGAACAGCACGATTGTATTTCTTTTCAGAGAAACTTCTGTGAAATGTCTCGATATAATGGAATAATATAACAGAGAATAAGGAATGAAAGGAAAAAAAAAAGAAATCTGCTGCACTCTATCATTGTTTCAGAATTTGTACCGTTTCCCTTCCGAACCCATTTCGTTAAATTTCAAAATGTTTCATATAATATATATGCAAGAAAATTCCTCATAATTCAAATACTATCATGCGCCATGTATACATTCACTTCTTTAGAAACATCACTGCTTTTTCAACTGGCAGGATATTCTCACTGTATTAATAAAAATATTAATTAATATCAACAGTACAAAATAATATATATAACAATATTAGAATAATATTAAAACATGAAATTGCGCCAGTTACATTATACAAACCGTTAATCTCGCGTATCATGGCGGTGTAATTCTTTTCTTTTTCTTCTTTTTTTTTTCCAAAATTCCACGGTACGTGAACTGTATAAAAGTTTCTATGAATATTTTTCACGTGGAGCTAATAGGCGTATCGGCGATTAATTCACGCCGAAAAATTTCGATCGCTACGGCGAACGACGAGCACGACGTAAAAAAAATTCGAAAACTCGGCTCGCGATCGTTTTATTAAATTGATATTAGACGACGTTATCTACGAGAGTGCAAGCACGTCGTTATGCAAATGAGAGATCCGTCAGTGTGTGGAATAAATACTGATGGATTAATTTTTTCCCGAATAATTAAAGAGATTCGAATGCCGTGTTTTTCTTTACCTGCGAAGTCTCCTAATGTAAATGAAAAACGAGTCGTCTGTTATTATGATAATGGAGGGAAAAAAGATTATGTATTGTGATAATAAATGCGGCTGAATTCAACTTGTTCAACCGGGTCGTTGTTTATTTCTGGAACTTTCAGGATAATTAAATTCATATCAAATCAGCCGATCTTGATATAATTTATTCAAAAGTAAGGAATTTCTAAATAATTACGATTACGGGGACCCGAGCGAGAAGTTTAATTTGTCAATTGTTAAATAAATTTGATAAAGGTAAGCAAATTCTTGGTTTTTTAAATAAGCGAATGAAACTTTGAAATATATTTTACGATCGAGAAATGACTTCTCCTAGTAAGGTTGAAACGAACATTTTAATCTGTATATCGATGTTATACCGCTTTCTCTGTGATTTTCAATAAATCAAACGATCATTCAAAATGAATTTGCGATGAAATTTGGTAATGATACCTTTCAATAATAATAAATATTGAATGATGAAATAGTATTGAAATAATTAAATAATGATTACTGCCGAATTATCATATTACTTAATTTAACCAATTATTTAATTCAACGTTTAGTCTCTGTTTCTCACAGCGATTGAAATAAAAATCCATGAATCTTAGAAATTTTTATATTATTTCCGTTATTATAATTTCATCGATTTTCGTCCGAGTATAATTTTTGTTTATTTATTTTGATACAATCCAACAATAATCGACAGACGCGTCCGTAAATGTTTCTTTATTACTCAACATTGAAAGAACACGAGAGAACATACTATTTAAAATATTTATGAATAACATTAGAATGCTATCAGCATAGAACAAAATTTGCGTGGGATGGAATTTGGTGGGATTCACGGTAGCATTCGAAGATTGAAGAACATTTAAAGTAATTTAAATCACACTTACCCAGTTGTTTGGCGGTTTACGGGTGCCATTTTCTATTTGTCCGGTATGCCAAACATAATAATTGTCGTAAGGTGAAATTCCCTGCACGCTCTTCTGGAACCATTCGTGTTGGTCCGACGTATGATTTGGGACGAAGTCCATAATCACTAACAAATTTTTATCGTGCGCGGCTTTCAATAGGTCATCGAAGTCCTTCATGGTGCCAAATGTCGGGTCAATATCCGTATAGTTCGAAATGTCGTAGCCGAAATCTACCATCGGACTGCGATAAATGGGCGACAACCAAATCGCGTCAAGGTTTGATGCCACCATATGATCCAATCGTTGGATGATACCTGGCGATAATTTGCAATTTTTTAGGCACTGCACGTCAAAATTACGTTCAAGTATGATATTGTTTGAAAAAAGAAAGAGAAAAGAAAATTTCGTTGAATTTCCACCAGCGGGGACTAGAAAATTATTTTTGCAACGACGTCATGTGTCGGAAAACGTGAAAATCGTTGGTAATGACCAGAAAATTTGCGAGAAAGTTGAAAATCTCTTGCAGAACACGCCACTTCCGAGTTTGTGCGGCGTCAAAGCGGCCAAAAGTAATTAACGCGCAAGTGGAGTTAAAATTTATTTTTGCGCTCAAACATTAACTTCTTCCTTCGAGTTTCTCGCAATCGGTACTCGCGTTTTGCTTTCCTCCTTTTTTCCCTCGATTAATGTTTGCACGCTTAGCTCTTTTAATTGCATCCGTTGCCGCTCCTTTGTTCACCGTTGTTACATAATTGCGCAAACAAATCGAAAGACGACGCGACGATGCAAAAAAGAGACGCAATTATGTATGTATTTACGTGCCATTGTAAATCGGTAACGTTTCGCGGTTAATTGTCTGTCACAATTGTAGATACGTCCTCGATTGTATTTATGCGATATTTTATTTTTATTTTTCTTGACGAAATGGTATTTAAGCCTCCTTGACCCTCGGTTTTTAAAGAAATTTTTAGCATGTACTCCACTTTTCGTGTCTCATACATTTTTGCATAGTGTGTATGTTCTCTGTATTTTTGCATTTTTAAACTACCCATAAACGATAAAAATCAATGCAGCTCGTTTATTCATACATCATGGTGCCTGAGAGATTATTATTCTGTATATTTCTATATATTGAATTAATTGTTTTTTTTTTTATACGTTCAAATAATCATTCTAGTTAGTAGAAATATAAACTTTTTTTTATATTATGCACACTTTTTACTATTGTGCAGAAAGGATTATTAGTATTGGTTTGTAATGTAAAATTCTGTAAAATTGTGTTTCAATTGTGACAAATATTTTCAAAGAGATATTTATACAAATAAATATTACTTTTCTACTGCAAGTACTCAAATGCTTCCTTAGAATACTTATAAAGATCTAAATCAATAATTTGTCTGAATGAAAAATTTAAATTTAAATTTAAATGTCTCTAACTATATAATAATTCACATAATTTTTCGTTTTGTGAGACTATTTCCGATTTTCATTCACCCTTATTTTCTGCATTTTTTTATACTATTTCCGATTTTCATTTACCCTTATTTTCTGTATTTTTTTATATTATTTGAAACATTTGCAAATATTTTTGAAATTCTTTACTGTTACCATTCAAAATCAAAATCATATTTTTGATGTTTATATAGCACTTGCTCGTAGATAACATCAACAATCTTTATAAAACCATCTGCGTTAATTATGTGCTTAATTGCCCATTATAATAACGAACTTAAGAATTAATAAACTAACATAAACGATTGATGTAACTATGATCAACAAAGCAAAGGAAAGAAATTTCTGATTATAAAATACACTTTGAAAACTTGAATTGTCAGAAAAAGGGAAACGAACCTCTAAGATCACCGACGCCGTCTCCATCACTGTCCATGTAACTCCTAGGATAGATCTGGTAAAGTGAAAAATCTTTAGCATTTTCTGACGGTTCCCACGTTATTCCGATGACCAGAGGCAGTACTGCCACGCAAAATGCTATTACCGCCCTCATGCTCCTTGAACACACAAAACACATTGCTGAATATCAAATTAGATGCCTAATTAATCGCATGACTTCGGGTTTGACGCACTCTCTGCAGAACGTTCTAATCACGTACACCAGTCCGATACTCGGTTCCGCGTTGTTTACGCGATAAACACGATAAATTTCGAAGTTTAGAAACGTACTTAAACACGATTTTCGCGTAGATGGAATTTGGAGAAAAAAGTTATCCTTTCCGGAGTGTAGAAATTTATCATTTTTAATAATTTGCCATTTAATGTTCCGAGACGAGGGCCGTCACCGTCTCATGAAATTTGTAACTCCAACGAAATGTTTAAAAATTTCGATTTATAACGTTTTGATACTATGCGTGGAATATTCTAAGAATATTTCAGTTTCGAAACCTAGCTTTATTTTGATAATATTGATTTACAATTTTCAATTTTAAAAACACAAATTTTACCAAACTCGTCTCAAAGATAAATATTTGAATTCATTTATCTTAAGAATACTGAAACTCAATAAAATGTATTGTGAAATATTATACAATGTTTATTCAGTTATATTTATCCAATATATATTCAAAACGTTTAGTCTGTCTAAATTTTTTTCTCGTTTAAGTTCTTACTTTACTATGATATTCTTAATATTCCAAGTTCTTAAAATATTTTCAAAAATAAAATTGTTAGTTTGACCACCTCGACAGCCATCGTGTTAGTGTATCGAGTTCTCTACCTTGCTACGAGATATTCAGTACACTCAAGTTGATTGGCTTGCGATATTTGTTGTCAACGTTGTGACATCGACTACGATAATGTATGGTGGCAGCTACCTTTTTATTCAGCTAGTCTTCCAACGCTTACATAACGCATTATGTATTTAGAGTTTCAGTAGTGGTATAAGATCGATTGTTCCTGTTAATTTTTATTGATATGAGTGGGAGACGTGTCGTTTTATCGAAGAGGAGTGTCGTATATTTTAACAGTAATCTAAATGAAAACGCTTGAAATTTCCATGATAAGGGCATTGTTACGTGGAAACTGTAGCAGCATAGTAATTACGTGATTGTCCATTGGATAAAATTTAAAATGAGAATTTTACAATTAAGATATGAAAATTTTAATGTGGAAACATTTCGAATGATTGAAAGTTTATAATTTCGTAAATAGATAGATATTATTATAACGTAACATTTTGTGAAATTGAGATACTCTTGAAATAAACCAAAAATGATCGAAGACAGTAAGAATCTTTATTTGATTAAATATTTTGTGTTGTAGAGCACGGATGAAATAACATATTCACACCTATTCACAGTATGTACCTGTACGAATACGAATGAAATAATATATAATTCGTACTTCGTGGCATGTTTGATTCAATTAGTTCAATTATATCGTATGATGTGATAATGATTTTTATTGTTTTTAAACAGTTTTAAAAAAATGTTTCATAATGATACAAATCGCACTCAAATCAACAATTAGCAGATAATTCATAGTGTATAAGATTTCATTTGTTCTATTATCAGATTCATTGCTATCTAATGTTAAACTTTGTATCATCCGTAAAACAGAAATTTATTACTAACGATGGCCAATAACTGGTATTGAACGTATTATACATGATTCGTGATAATTAATGAATAAATGTCTGTAGCGAATTTCTTCGGTCACATTACAATTGGAAAGTCAATAAATTAGCATTTAGGTATCGCCAATGCGCATGTTGGGTCCCGTGATAAATTGGAGCAGCGTTAAGATCAAGATTATCTATAATCTATAGCATCGCTATATGCGTACGTACAATGGAACGCATCGATTTATGCGATGCACGAACAGCACACGCACGTTCTCCATTCCTATCGAGTTAATTCTGCATTCAGGATTCGGAAAGATCGCGGTTGTTTACGTTGCCATCATTGCACGGCGAATCCTGACTTTACCTATGGTAACGAACCAAATTTTCGACACACACTTTTACTAGATTTGTATCTGATACTCACTGTCACATTAATATTTCATTAATTAATTGACGTGTTAATTTTTCATGATTGCATTGTCCGTAGACAATATATTAAAATGCTCTGAAAAAAGGAGATCATCGCTAATATTAGAAGATATATTGATGTATTTCACAAATTCTGACTTGAGAAAAATTAGAAAACTTTCTGATCCAATTTGAGCCTTGAATCTCGTCAAAGAATCAATATCTTGGGTCTGTTTAATATTAATTTCTTGTAATTTTTTCTGGTTTCTTTCGATTTCATTCAGTTTTCTGAATTATATTCTTTAAAATTTCGTTCCATCGAAGAACGAGAAACAGAAGGAAGATTCGTGGGGGGAGGAGAAATTAACCTTTCAAATAGAACGGCTTAGAGAAATATTATTCTTCTATATCGTGGCGATACCGTGGTTTGTTTTAATACTGAATGAATCATTATATTTGATAATCATATAGTTGCAATCGTTTTCGTTTATAATTTAAAATAACATTGCGGAGATGGTCCAGGAAGAGGAGATGGTCATGTCGGGAACAGATGGAATTCTGTTAACAAACTTGTTTCTTAAATGTGCACGATTATATTTGAGAAAAGGTAAAAATAGAAACAGAAGTCGCTGGCTAATTATGCAATTTGAAAGGAATACTAAGTACACGTTCATTACGGTGTTATAAATAACACGCTTCGCATCAAAACAATATCTCTCGACGACAATACAGTTTATTTCCATCTTTCACGTGAGTCGATACAGTTATCAAACAAAGGATTAAACATGGTCTGATCTTTCAGTTAGTATTTTAATTGGCCACTTAATTACTTAATTACCTACTTGATCAACATCAACTTTATCAAATTCAGCGTTTCAATTACAATGTTTTATATATATATGTACGTACCACGATGAAATGTACTACGATCAATGTCAACACAATAATTATTTTGTACTATAATTCTTTCAGTTATCATTGTTTTGGCAGTCACGTGCCTTTGTGCGTCAACATAGTTCTTCAAGGACAAAAGAATAACTTATGAAATTTCGTACTTGACTTAGCATTTTCCTTTATAATTTCGCTTTACGTGTAACCTCGCATTATGCGTTTCATAATTTCGTTTATTGATATTTATTGGAAAACAAATTTATTCTAAAATACATAATAAAAGTATAAATGTAATTCCGTGAGATATGAATGAAAGGACTCTTAGGAAAGTTAATTACTGTTCGAGCCATTTGCCATAATTTTAATTATTGGAATTATGTGTACGAAAGGCTATTTAAAAAATTTTGTATTGGACAGTGCCATGCCAATTTCCTTGTGAGATGTATCTGCCGAAAATGCCAAGCAACACAATAAAAGTAGATAAAGTAAAAAATTGTCAATTTATGCACGTGATTGAAGGTTTAACTGAAAAGAAAGTAATTAAGAGAGAAAGCTTCAATATAGCGATCAAACATTGTCGCATTATTCGACACGCGAACATTTTGAACAGCTGCATCTCGCAACGATTAAGAAAAAAATGACCTGATTATGGTCAACGACTATAATTAACGTGAAATACTGGGATACTGATCATCGTCAAATAATCAACGATCACCGATTAATGAATAAGAGAAGCAAGAACTTCTCTAGACTAGATACTCTTGATATTAACATTAATACTTCCTGACTTAATTTGACATTAAAACATATCTTTCGTTTTATTTCTATGTTCCAACAGCACGAATAATTTCCCCTCTCATTGTGATACTCTGATTACTATTGTATCGAAGCGTTCGTATTAAGAGTTCAATTTCAAACACAATGATTACTAACGAAGTAACTTTATTGAGAACTCAGGTTATATATAATTAAAGATTAGAATATTAAATACTTAATGTGAAATAGATAAATACTTCGTTGTAATCAAAATTCCGCATTTTGAGTGGTGAGGATGACTACTGATGTGGCAGGTATGGTCACGTGTCGGTCGACTGTTTTCCTATATGTGCAACAAACGTACAAACAAGCATGATTTAATCACATAGTGAAAACTAGGAAAAGATGCATAGATTTATCGTCACGATGACGCAAGATAGACAAATAAAATGAAACTTGAAAAAATGGTCACACGTACCAAGGAAGCACCGTGGAGTTAGCACTGGCGTAATAAACATCCAATTTACTCGGTATGTTACCAAACGCTGATAAGTCCACTGTTGAGTCCTCGTCGCCGAAGTTCGTTATAGCGTAAACGCTTCCGTGCTTCTCGGTTTCTCTGAAGAAATTACGACATCCCATTGTGAAAACGAAGGTGTCACCATTGTTTTTAATGCAAATTTCGTTTCGAGTTACACAAGGAATTATCCTTACCTGGCAAAGGCGAAAACATATTCATCCAATACTTTTGTCACTAAATTGGCATGCTTGAAGTGCGGCGATTTCTTCAGCTTCGAGAGTTTCTCATAAAGAGTGTAGTACGAGTTATTGTCTTTCTTCTCGTCAGCCAGATTCAAGGTCTTGTAATTAGGGTTGACTGGAATCCAGGTATGGGAATTCGAGGAAAATCCTGCGAATTGAAACTCTTGGTTATTAAGATCGTTGTTGCTTTGAATTGAGGAGTTAATAAACTAAATATTCTCAGTAAATGATGTCACGTTGAAAAAACATACGTAACATCGAAAAATTGTCATGATAGCAACGATATTTCGCGTGTCTACTAATTTTCTTTTAGAGAATATCTTATCGTTACTTTCCTTCACAGACGTAAACACGATTAGCTGAACATTTAGTTTGGTTTATAATAATCGTCAATTGAATTTTAACTAACTAACATATTATTAACTATGTTTGTTCTAGTGCAATATATAGAATATATATAATATATATCAATATATAAGTTGCAATATAATATATAATTGAATTAATCAAGTGATTTAATCAATTATATTACGACCTTAATTGCAAATTAAATTAATTGCTACTTGTAGTGGCAAAAATAAAATGATCGATGAATCCGTATCAGAGAAGTCTAAT